GAGAGAGAGAGAGAGAGAGAGAGAGAGAGAGAGAGAGAGAGAGAGAGAGAGAGAGAGAGAGAGAGAGAGAGAGTTAATGCACGGAAAATATTTTATTGAGAAAAGAAGTGAGACGGAAAGCTATCAAAGGCTGAACACATACCGAAAAGAGTGAAATCTTGTCCATGTTCCAACACTGGTACCTGTCCAAAGGGCTGGAGGGAACAGAACAAACGCCAAGTGTCAAGGGGACGTAAAGACCGTCTCAAATAGACAAGCAGCGGCAAAATTGGCCATGGGGAGGGGAAAGAGAAATTATGTGCAGGGGAGGGGGCGGCGGTGGGAAGGAGGGGGAAGAGAATGGTATACTATGCACTTACCGGTCTAATGAGGCAAACTGCAGACAAACAACAACCAAGCAAAGGGCAGGACGCAACAAGGCATTGGATGACAAGCGGCAGCAAGGGACATGGTCTGGAGGGCACTGGAAAGGTGGGTGGGCAGCCAAACAGCACAAGGCAGCAAAGGAAAAGTCAGCAGGCCAAAAAACAGCAAAGGCAAAAAGCAGAAGACAGGAAAAGTACAAATACCAAAAACAACATTCAGCGAAAAAAAATAAAACTCGTTATCAGGGGGCTGAACCCATCTGCAGTATCCCCATATTGATGCTTTCAATTGATTCATGGACTCTTTTAACCCCTCTTGGAAGTGTACAGGCAGCAAGGCCACAATTCAGCGAAGCAGTCTGAGTGAAGCAGGAGTAGACTGACTGTCGGAGCGCGGTATGGGCACGCTACAGTCTTCACCCGAATACAACGTACCGTCATTATAGCTGCATTGGGGGCAACTTTGCGTCTAGATACAGTGATAATGACCGTACGTTGTATTCGGGTGAAGACTGTAGCTACACTGTAATTTGTTTCACGATAAGTAAAACTCCCAAGTTACATTGTTTTTACGACGAACACCAGGCAATCCTAACAGGGCAGCCCAACTGCATGCAACAACAGCACAAGTGGACAGGCAGCAAGGCAACAACACAGCAAAGCACCACACAGCACTGCAAAAGTGGCCAAGCTAGACGGCGCACACTGCCAGGCAAAACACACGGTACGGCACGGAACTCGGATGGGCAGCAAGGCCGCAATAGGCAGCGAGGCACAAAACAACTGGTACACAAACAGGCAAGTTGCAGGGAAAGAGATGACAAGTGGGTGGGCAGCAAGGCAAAGGTAACTGACTTAGAGGAGCGCAGACAAGGCAGACCACACATGCAACACGGACCAAAGCAAACTATCACCTACTCACACCACAAGTCGAACCCTGCCGACTGTTGGTTCCCATCACCTGCTGAGCCAGGGAGCCACTCCAATGAACGTCTGTCATCGCCAATGGAACTATACCCACTGAGCGCCTCACCTAGTAGTAGTGGTACAGGCATTCTAAACAACAGCCGTCAACTATTTGGCACTACTTAAAGGTGCCCACTTACCAAAAGAATATATACATACATATGGTTGTGTTCGTGTCTGTGTGTGTTTGATGCATGAGTGTGCATCACTTTCTGGCACTACTTAGAGGTGCCCACTTGCCAAAAGGATACATACATACATATGGTTGTGTTCGTGTCTGTGTGTGTTTGATGCATGAGCTGTCTCTTATACACATCTAGATGTGTATAAGAGACAGATTTAGGACCCTGTAACCGGGACTGGGAAAGCTTGCA